ATTGGATGATCTCTAAGGTCTAACATTTTTGAATTTCTTTCTGGAAAAGAAAATTGGGTTTGGGGGAAAGAAGGAGAAGGGGAGAGAGAGAAAGAAGAATTCCCTGCATAGTGAAAAATTTGAGGCCTTTTAATATAAGAAGAGACGAGTGTGTGCAGTGTGGGGTGTGGAGTGTGGAGATGCGTGATGAGAAATCTTCGCACTGCGTAATCTTTGCAGACATTTTCTCTTGCACCTTCAGGAAGCCTCTGGGCCAGGATCATTGCTGCATTGCTGACAGGTGCAAAATCCTCCCATGCACCTACTGGTCCCTCCCACACACTGAATTATGGAAAAAATAAAAGTTTAAAGTGATCAAACCCTCTGTTTATTCCTAAAAGAGAGCACCTGGCACTAAACGCTTACTTTTCCTGTGTCTGATCTGCTTTGGTTTGTCAGAGCCTCTCGTTTTCATGCAAGAGTAAATAAGAAGGATCCAAAGTCTCTAGCATCTCACCACATCAAGAATTCAATTGCTCTGAGTCATTTCCCAAATCCCCAGCAATTCTATTGCAGAAGAGTGCCTTTCAGACCAGAATTTGCGACAGCACCGTCAGCAGAGGGCGCAGGCGTTGGGGAAGTTTCTCACCTGAATACCGCGGCTGTGTGTGTGTGTGTGTGTGTGTGTGTGTGTGTGTGTGGTGTGTGCACACCTGTGCATGTGTCCCTGTACCCGTAAGTGGGAGGAGCAGATCATGCCTAGGGCTTGCCAGAGAGGAGCCCTGACGCCACCAACTTCTGTGCTCGCTACTGAGCCCAGCTTTGAAAGCGGAAAAAGCAAGGGTTGGCTTCCAGCTCTACCACTGAACAGACAATTGCGTGACATCAGGGATGTGTGGAAGCCTCAGTTTCCTCCACTACAGAAAAGGAAGGATGCCTTCCTCGCAGGCAGTTGTGAGGTTTCCGTGAGACCATGCTCAGGACGAGTGCTTTCTGTGCGTCACCCAGCCCAGTGCTTGACGCGGAGTGAGCCCTCAGTCTGGGTACCCTGGCCAAAGCACATGTGCCAGGGCCAGTGTCTGACACTGACTGAGTTCCCACTTTATGCCACACACTGCTCTAAGTGCTTTAAATGTAATCAGCAGGAGGCTCAGAGAGGTAAAGCAATTTGCCTGAGGCCACACAGCCAGTAATGATGGAACCAGGCTCAAGCCCAGGAAGTCTCTCTCCAAAGTCTGTGATCTTAAACCACCTCAGCTGCCATGTATAGCTCACATATATGTTATTGTATATGTTAACAGACTGAAATACATACTGAAGGTTGTTCACCCTTTATGGGCATTTTAATTGTTCAGGAACACTACTGAGGCTACTACCTGTCCTCGGTTCTTACTCTGCGATCAAGGGCTCAGCCATTGAAGGCTAGATAATAAAAATACTCTCTGACCCTCAGTTTCCTTATCTGTAAAAATGAGGTTGTTAGAATAATTAAATAAAAGCATACGTGAAAAACGCACGACCTATAGTAAGCGTTCAAAAATAATGGGTTAAAATTTTATTATCATAGCATCCTAGGCAAAGGACATCGTACATCCGGTTCCTTCCCTTTGTGAGTCTCCACAGGTTTTCATTTTTAGATTTATGGCGGCAGGGGCCTCCCTCTGCAGTGCTCCTTTCTCTCGTGTTCTACTTCCTGCTGGGCTCTGCCTCAGTTTCCATCCTGGAACTTTCTCAAGAGCCCTCAGGGAAGGATCTAGGCTACAGCTAAGTAAGATAAAGGCAAAATTTCCATCTCAGAGTCTTGCGTAAGGTGCATTTATCTCCTTTTCTAAAAACTCTTGTCCTGTTCCCAGCCCATTAAATGCCCTGGGAACGCAGGGGGAAGAAAACACATGCTACAGATGCAATTAAGATAAAGTCTCTTCCAAGACAGGGAGAAGCTCTCTGATTTTCCTTTCGGGTTTAACAAGTTTCTTTTATAAGACAGCCTCCACATGGAGCCCCCTCACTGAAGCCTTGGCAAACACCATTTATGCATTCGAAGAAAAATCTGGATGCTTAGTCTCACTGATCCTATTTGAGAGACTAGAAATCCCAGGCCGTGAGAGAGCTTGTCCCCGAAAGAGCAAGACGCAAGTGCAGGAAACTCGGTCTTCTTGATCCAATTCTCACGGGGACATGTCCACTGCGGTGGCCCAGGCCAGAGATGACGGTGGCCGCAATGGAGTAGGGTGGTGGACAAGGGAAGAGGTGGTGGGCTGAGGCTTGTTTTGGAGATAGAACCCACAGGGCAGGCTGGTGGATTAGAGAGGGATGAAGGCAAGGATGACTCCCGGTTTGTCTCACGGACACAGTTAATCCTGAGCGAAATACTGCAGGTTCAAGGTTATTTGTGCACAGAGCATTGTTGGCGATGGGAAAACTTGGAAATAGGCGACAATAAGAGATAGCTACATCATTACAGCTAAGCAATGGAATGCTGGGGCGCCATAATAAAACAATGAAGAAGCTCCAAAGGGAAATATAGCAATATAGTCCTCTAGACTATATTGCTGGGCAGGAAAACGTGGAGCGGTACGTATAGTATGTATCATTTGTATAAAAGAAAAGGTGAACATCGACATAGCCCCACTCGCTTATGTACGCATAGGGTGTCTCTGGAAGGAAATACCAAGAAATCAGTAGCATTAGGTGCTTCTCAGGAGGAGAACTGGGTGAATGGGGGCAGGGTGGGAAGGGGGCTTGTTGTATATCATTTTGTACTTTTTTGAATTTTGAATCACGGGACCATATCACTTTGTTAGTTTTCTATTGCTGCTATGACAAACGATTGCAAAGGTAGTGGCTTTCAAACAGTGCAAATTTATTATTTGACAGTTGTGTAAGTTCGAAGTTTGACACAGGTCTTAGTGGACTAACATAAAGGGATTGGGGAGATGTGCTGTTTTCTGGAGGCCCTTAAAGAAAATCTGTTTTCTTGCCTCTTCTAGCTTCTGGAGGCTTCCCACATTCCTTGGCTCATGGTCCCTTCCTCCATCTTCTAAGTTAGCAGTGTTTTGTGTACCTGACGTTTCTTCCAAAGCTATGTTTCCCTGTGACCACAGCTGGGAAAGATTACCCTCTTTTAAAGACTCCTGTGATTAGATTCCACCTGCCCAGATAATCCAAGCACATTTTCCCATCTCAACATCCTTAATTTAATTACACGGGCAAAGTCCCTTTTGCTATGTAAGGCAACAACCTTCGAACAGATTCCAGAGATTAAATATGAACATCTTTGGTGGCCATTATTCTGCCTACCACAATTACCTACTCAGAAACAATTTAAAAAACAAAGACAAGGCCGGGCACGGTGGCTCACGCCTGTAATCCTAGCACTCTGGGAGGCCTAGGTGGGCGGATTGCTCGAGGTCAGGAGTTCGAAACCAGCCTGAGCAAGAGTGAGACCCCGTCTCTACTATAAAAAGAAAGAAATAAAAAACCTTAGCCGGGCATGGTGGCGCATGCCTGTAGTCCCAGCTACTTGGGAGGCTGAGGCAGGAGGATCGCTTGAGCCCAGGAGTCAGAGGTTGCTGTGAGCTAGGCTGACGCCACAGCACTCTAGCCCAGGCAACACAGTGAGACTCTGTCTCAAAATAAAACAAAATAAAATAAAATAAAATAAAAAATAAATAAAATACAGTGACTCCCAAACTTTTGGTTTGAGCCATGGGGTGGATAGTAGCCCGTTTACTGAGTGCAGGGATCAAGGGAGCAGAAACAGGCTGGAGGAAGTGGTCTATTTGGGCATAGGAGGTTTAGGTGCCAGTAGACTTTTCAGGGGTGATAGCAGCTCGGACCCTTGAGTTTGTGGGTTTGGTGCTCATCAGACTTGTTGGGGCTGGAGATAGAAATTTGAGAGTCATCGGTATATAGAAAGTGGTGGAAGCCATGGAGCTGGCCAAGAGCACCCAGGGAGAGTTCTCTGATGGAGAAGAGGTGAAGCTTCAGGCTGATGCTCAGAAGCCCACAGGTAGGGGGAGGAGCACCAGTGGGATTCAGGGAGACCGTATCACCTCCTCCAGGGGCCTCCCCTGCAGCCTGGATTTGAAGAGCCTCCAGCCTACTCCCCACTTTTTCTCTATCACCCCCCTTTGTTCCTTTTGTTTACGGGATGACCAAAATCTGTAATTGCCTTGTTTTGCTGGTTTGCTTATTGCCTGTCTCTCCTCACCGTGTTGTAAGTTCCACGAGAGCTGAGCTGTGCCTGTCTCGATCACGTCTGTCTCCCAAGCACCTACGCTACTGCCTGGCTCAGCGGAAGCACTCAATACACATTTGGTGAATGAATGAATGAATGAATGAATGAATGAATGAATGAAAACAACTTTGATTCCTTTACCCTCAAACCATAAACAACAAAAATGGCTCTACAATTGAAAACTTAAGGGGAAAGAAAGTGCAGCTCTCTTATACACTCCACTGACTATCCCCCATACGTAGGGTTGCACAGAAGTTGTCTACTGAATATTTTAAAAGCACCAGGAAGACACTTCTATTGCACCTGTTGTCACCGTGCTTGAAATCCTGCCATTGTCTAGTCATTCCCTAGAGTGAGGCATGACCCTCTTAGCACAGTGCTAGTAAGCACTCAGTACATTTTAGCTCTCCCTTTGGTTATTATTTAGTCTTTTAAAAATGCAACTATCCCTGGGAAAGATGGCCCACGCAGTCATTAACCCTTTAGTATGAATTAGTTTCTCAGCAGAGATAGTTAAGGAAGAATCTTAGGGTAGGGGCAGAAAGGTGGGGTTGCAGAAAGGCAGAAAGGGTTTCCAAAAAACACTAGGGAATCTAAAGCAAACCTCAGTTTCTGGTTCTGCTTGAGGCTCCTGCCTTCCCAGCGCGAGGACTGCTCTGCAAGCCACAGCAGCCACTGGCTTTTCATGTCAGCGTGGTGCGAGCATCCCCGAGAGCTGAGCCAGGCAGTGGAGGAAATGAAGAGGCTGTCAAGGGAGGGGCGAGGGGAAGAAGACAGGCTGGCGCGGGTGCAGCAGGCAGTGAGAGCAGCTGCCTCTTCAGCCTGGAGGGCTCCTCCCGCCGCCGCTGCTCGGCCAGGAGACAGGTAAACTGTCCGTGTAGGGCTGAGGCTTCTCTTTCGGTTCCTTTCCTACTTGTGCAGAATTCGGGCTCACCCAGCGTAAAGCGGGCACCGTGTGGCCCGAAGGGATTAGAGAGGAAGGGCATCCCCCCTTCCTTTGAACTGCTTTCTAGGGTGCTGTATATCCCCAAACCCCCAAATCAAATACGTGATCTGACAACTGCTTCTGTGGACAATGGGACGGAATATTGAGGTCGGGGTCTGTCTAAGGCTTATAGGCAAAGGATGGCGCTACAGGTTTGGTACCTTATGATGGGCAGCCTGGGAACCCACAGGAAAATGCATACCGTTGGGTGAATTTTCCCCATCTGTCCTAGATCCCAAACTAGATACTGAGTCCCTCGAGGGCAAGGCCCCAGGCTCTAGTCTGGATTTTTTGGTCCCCAACACCCAGCACAGCTGTTGGACGTGAGGATTTGTCTATACCTACACTGTCCAGCACTTGACTTGAGATTTGCACTAAGTGTAAAATACACCCTGATTTTGAAGACTCGGTAGGGAAAAAAAGAATAGAAAACACTAATAATTTTTATATTGAGTATAAGTTGAAATAGTAATATTTTGATATATTGGGTTAAATAAAATACACCATTAAGATTGTTTCGTTTCTTTTTACTTTTTAAAATGTGGCTACTAGAACATTTTAGATTGCCCACGTGGCTTGCATTATATTCCTATTGAACATCTCTGGTCTATACTTCCCCGGCCTCCCCTCTCCCACCCTCCCTTGCTGCCCTTAACCTCTAACCAGACTTAGGGACGTCCTTCTCCCTGGGCTTCTAAAGCCCTCAGAATGTTTAATTGGCCAGAGCGGGATCCCTTTATGTTTGTCGAATCCCTGATTATTACACTTTACTAAGTGCATTCATTGTTCATGTCATTTAAGCCTTATCTATAATTGCACCCATTTTTCTAGGATAAAGAAATTCAGGCAGCAGCAAATAGGAGAGGGACTAACTTTAATTGAACGCCCGGGCTACCAGCTTTACACATTTTATCTTCTTTAAATTTATTTTCCTAACAGCCTGATAAAGTAGGCGTTGCTTTCTCTACCTTTTTGCAGATGAAGAAACAGAGGCTTAAGAGCTCCGATAACTCGCCCCAAATCATCCCCCTAGTAAGAAGCGCAGGGTCAGGGCTGGAAACATGGAGGGCCCGAGTCGGAGAGCAAGTTTTCCCGCACTGGTAGCACGTGGCTTCATGTTTGCATCATTTGAGCTGAGTCTCCAGGGCTTCCCCCACTCGCTTGTATGTTCTGTGGTGCCGGCCCACCGAAGGGGCTCATTAAGGAGACCCTGGATGGTTTACTCTTTATCACAGGTTTCTAGATTGTGCAAGGAATGAGCCCACCTGGGTCTCAGAGCACCCGGGAACGTCCCATTACTAAGTGACCTAGGACAGGGAGCGTCCCACCTCCGTAAAACAAAACGGACCTTTACCGTTTGCTGTTTGTGATCCTGAGCCTGCTGGGTGGGGAAACCTAATCAAGCTGCCCTTGTAGCCTTTTTTCTATTCTTTTTTTTGAGACAGAATCTCCCTATGTTGCCCAGGCTGGAGTACAGTAGCTATTCACAGACAAAAATCACAGCCTCAAACTCCTGGCCTCAAGCCATCCTCCCACCTCAGCCTCCTAAGTAGCTGGGACTTATAGACCAGCGCCGCCATCTCACCCAGCTGCCCCTGTAGATTAATCCCTAATGGCTTACATCTGGAATTAGAGAAATATTTTCTAAAGAAGAATTTTTATTAAACAAAAAAAAAAAATCTGAAAACCTTATTATTTCCTCATGTTCGGGTTTCTGCTGAATGTCTTGAGCACTAAATTCGGGGCCAGGGAGTCCAGGTCGCGTGGGTGGGCAGAAAGCCTCAAGTTCATTGTCGAGGATTAGGGGGTTTTTGACGGCTGCCCACTCAGCAGGTGGTTTCCAGGGCGGTTGCACACTGGGTGCGAGTCCTGGGAATGGCGACCCGGTGTCATGGCTCGAATGACTGGAAATCCTCATTACCTGTCCGGCGGATCGGAGAGGGGTGCCAAGTCCTTTCATAAGCCTGCCATGAATAATCCTCCCTGAAAAGCCCGATTTATAAGAGCAGCATCAAAGCCGGGCCGCCCTTAGGATTCCACTCTTTTAAGGCTGACAGCCTCTTCCCTTTTCAAAACTCGATGTGAAGAGCGAATCAAGTCCAGCCCGGGGGCCTCTTCGCAGCTGCGAGCTGATTAGTCCAAAGACAGCTAAAGCCCCTCCACCCACCCGCCCCCCACTCCGGCCTCACCCTCCTTTCTTTATTCAATGCCCGCTGATTGCTGCTAAGAAGGCCTATGAAGATTGATTTTCCAAACGAGTTCCCATTTCTTGTTCCAAATCCCTGGAGGGTACATTGAAGTGCCCTGCAGTCGTTAGTACTTCTAAATGGATTTGGGCCTGAATAACGATTTTTTTTTTTTATCTGTTTAAGTAGGCTGAGCCCTGAATTAATTCGCTTCAAGTCTTTGAGCCTTGATGTTAAAAAAAAAAAAAAGAAGAAGAAGAAGAAGAAGAAGGGATCAGGGATATACGCGTCCTTTATCGAACTCCCTTTGAAATTTGCTCCTGGGGTTTGAAGGTGGGGTGGGGGAGAAGGGGCGGGAAGAGCTGTTAGGATTTGAAAACCTGTTTCTTACATGTGCCTACTAGCAGCCAGGGCCCGCGTGTTGTTTAAGGCCACGACTGCTAGTCAGGAAGCCTTGCCTGTCGCTGTGTAGCTGTGCAGAAAAGCAGGAAAAACACTTTTGATCAACAAAAGCCCTGTTAGAGTTACTTCTGGAAAACAGGCAAATTCTCAAAGATCTTTCGATATGTTGACAGTGGAGATTGTCAAGTCATATACGGACGTACGTAACCTCTAAAATACATCTTTCCTGTGAAAGTCCATAAGAAAAGGCCACCGGAAGGTAGCCTAACCTTGCAGGCAGCAGCTTTGATGGGAAGAACAAGCTAAAGATGGTTTTCTGTTTGGCTAAAGCTTATTATTTATATTCTCCCCTCTCACCACCACCTTCCCCAAAGACCAAGAGCTTCAGAAACAGGGAAGATGTCTTAAAAAACAAAGGTAGGCCTGGCACGGTGGCTCATGCCTGTAATCCTAGCACTCTGGGAAGCCAAGGCGGGCGGATCACTCAAGGTCAGGAGTTCAAAACCAGCCTGAGCAAGATCGAGACCCCATCTCTACTAAAAATAGGAAGAAATTAATTGGACAACTAAATATATATAGAAAAAATTAGCTGGGCATGGTGGCGCATGCCTGTACTTCCAGCTACTCGGGAGGCTGAGGCAGGAGGATTGCTTGAGCCCAGGAGTTTGAGGTTGCTGTGAGCTAGGCTGATACCATGGCACTCACTCTACCTTGGGCAACAGAGTGAGACTCTGTCTCAAGAAAACACAAAAAAACAAAAAACAAAGGTAAAAATGACCTTAATCTTAACAAGGTTGTAAAGACATATCGTCACCCCCAGGGAATGGTGTGGTGTTTTTAGAAACTGCTGAAGGAAATTTATGTAAACTTTTAACTGGGTTGAGGGCCTTTCAAAGCAGAGAGCACACAGTAGGTGCTCAATAAATGCTGAACAAACAGGAAGTGGTGAGGAGCCAGTACTTTGCTGACTTGCCATTCTTGCCGGGCCCTGCCGCCTGCTCCTGGAGCTGCCCCAGGGCTCTGCCGCTAAGGGACAGGGCAGGAGAGAAAGCCCAGGGTGCCCAGGGCGTGCTGGGTCTGGAACGAAGATGAGGGAGGGATGGACAAGGGGGGAGGGAAGAGGCCGGCTCCAGGGAGGGCACACTCGTGCACTAGGCTGGTGCTGCCGGCCCTGGGGGGAAGCAAGGCTTCGGGGGAGCCGGCTGGATGCTGGACACCCCTCCTCCCTCTGCGTGATCCCAAGCGAGTCCTTCCCAAGAGCGGCGCGAATAGAAAAGACCAAGAACAACTGGCTGGGCCGGGCACGGTGGCTCACGCCTGTATTCCTAGCACTCTGGGAGGCCGAGGCAGGAGGATTGCTTGAGCTCAGGAGTTTGAGACCAGCCTGAGCAAGAGTAGAGACCCCGTCTCTACTAAAAATAGAAAGAAATTAGCCAAACAACTAAAAATAGAAAAAATTAGCCAGGCGTGGTGGCACGTGCCTGTAGTCCCAGCTACTCGGGGAGGCTGGGGCAGGAGGATCGCTTGAGCCCAGGAGTTGGAGGTTGCTGTGAGCTAGGCTGATGCCACAGCACTCTAGCCCAGGCAACAGAGTGAGACTCTGTCTCAAAAAAAAAAAGAAAGAAAGAAAGAAAGAAAGAAACAACTGGCTGGAGTGCCTGTTGGCTGACGGAGGGGCAGGTCAGAGTGGGGGCTGAGGGACAGGAGGATCTGGGACTAGAACCCGCGTCCCTGCCCAGGCAGCAGGTTCTCACCGCGCCTCGGCTGTGCTCTCACTTGCTCTCTTTCCTTCACAGCTTCCCCCCCTACTCCACGCGCACACGTATTGAACACCTGCTCTGTCTGCAGAAACTCACATTTATCATTAAGTTTTCAAAGTATACCGATTTTCAAAGTGAGCCGAATACAAAGTGACTCCAACGAGGCTCAGGCGCTAGGTGTCCCAGATTGGGAGAACGTTTACTGAAATGTGTTTTAAAATAGAAGAGCAGGAAAGTGGAGGTCGTCTAACCCTTGGTCATCACATATCAAAATAGATTCGCTGCAAAAAAAAACAAACAAAAAAAAACCCAAGTTCGTTGCAAAGCTGCTTGGCTGACCTACATGAAAAGCAGCAGGCATTACTAGAGAGAGATTGGAGCAGCAAGATAAATTGTGAGCCTTGCTAGATGCCAAAACGAGAGATGCTCTGTAAGTAAGGGGGGGAAAAGCCCTAAGGGCTGTAAAAAGAAGTTGAACAGCCATGAGAATATTTTCTCCCCAGGGGCTGCATTCACAGGCAGCTTCGACTC